AGAAATGAATTTAATGCTTTAAGTTGGAGGGCAATGCATCTGGCAAATAAAGAGCAATAAACATTTGCTATAAACTTGGAACTCATCGTTTGGAAAAGATCAAAGGTATGAATATTGGGTTGTATTAACTTTTCATAGAATGGCTGAGACACAAACATGATACGGGCATGAAAAGACAAGCATGACTGAATGTATTAGATAAAGTATTTCCAGTATAGATTGGGAACTATTAACACTACTGCAAGGTGGCATGTCATGGGGGTGACTGCACAGTTCTAGCCACCAATGCTTGAGAAGGCTGAATTCAAACTTTAATAGAGAAAGGCTCCTAAAGTGCTAAAAGGGAAAAGAAGAGCAGACTAAGCCTCTGAAAGGAGACAATAAAAGCCCATTAAAAAGTGGGTTGCATAAGTGTATAAAGATGCATCATAAGGCTAGGAGACAATGGAGATAATGAAATGCTAGTGGAGAAGGGAGCTATATAACATAGAGGACAAGGGTAGCATGCTATCAAATAGGTACCAACTTATCCTTAAGGTGACTCATAACCTACAGAGCAAGCAGGACTTGAAACAGCCTTCACGTGGGTGAAGCAGGGGCCAGAAAAAGGGAAGTTCCATGGAACTAACACAGGACGACTTAGCCCAGCTGTTCAGGGGGCTGTGGGTAAGTTTATGAGGAGGGTATCAGCACGAGATACTTGCAAAAGCAGGGAAGTGGACCTAGCAACCCAGGGGTTCTTTTCCATGCCTCTGCTCCAAATTTGAGAGCAGGGATATTTGCTTGTATTCTCCTATTTCCATTTAGTTGCACAACAAGCAGAGACCATCAAGGTGTTATGTAGCTGTGCTCATTCATTTTTGTTTGTTCAGTGAAATGAACATGCATGGAGAGCTTTAATCAAGTCCTCTCCAGGTACAATGACTCTCTCCACTTGCCTTCTCAATTTCAATAATGTTTGTAGTGTTCTTCTTTTTAAGTCGGATAGATCCTTCTGAGCCTTGAGGGCATTTACATACCACCCTTCCTTTAGAAATTTGTAAGTAATGAGTATGTTAACGATCAATGTCCTTTTAAAAAAAGCAAACAAACGTTGAGCTGCTCCTGACCCTCTACTGTGTGGAGTTAACAGTTATTCAGCCTTTGGCAGTCTGTCTGAGAGAAAGAAATATTGGGATGACAACTGTGATTTGTCTTTGAGCAATTGTACAGTACACAGCAACTATTTGCTTTGACTTTACTCTAATTTATTCTCTTTTTTAAAAATAAATATGATTGGCAGAAAGAACCCAGTACTTTCAGTTACAATACACTTTTAAAAGTAATCAATTAAAAGACAACTACCTAATAATTCAGATCTTCACAATCTGTTGCTTCAGAAATGAACAACTATTTGCTGCTCTGTTTACTTCAGAGCCATTTACCACTTTAATCCTTAGCCTAGTCCCTGTTTTACTCCATAGGAAGGTAATGCCCTAGTGCTGAAAAGTATATTTACATATAAGGTTCTATAGCTTCTTGGAGGCAATAGCAGCAGTAATGGACTTTTTGCACTAGCAGAGTGCAGAAAGTCCACTACTTCTCACCCATTCAGATCTCAAATAATGTTATATGGGGAAAAGCATTCATTTATGAGGAGGAATAAATAAGGTTTTTTATTACCCTGGGTATGTTAATGGTATATAAATAAAAATATGAATTCTGTGTAAGTAAGGTTATTCTTCTGACAGGGAGAAAACAGCTGAGGCAGGCATAAAGATTTCCATAAGCAATTCACTGGAAGCTATACAACACGCCTCTGAAGAACACAATTTGCCCCTGACCTCAGCATCTACCAGCCAAGTTATGTTCAGCAGTATAGGGAGAGTAACTCAAATTACAAACTGAGTAGGACAGGAAAAGATGTCATATTCAAAATGATCTGAAAAATACTTCTAGGTAGTGCAGTCTCAAAGGCAGCATGTGCTGAAATGAAAATGGTTTGTACTTAAAAGGAGATTTGCACGTATTGATGCCATGATCATCTCCTTGACAAATTATAAACCCTTGCGGCAAACTACAAGGGCATTATATGAGAGTTCTTAGGCATAGTTCAAAAATTATAATAGCAGTTTTGCTGCTGATCTTTCTATAATGGCAATTATACTGACTGAACAGATTAGTGACTCCATGAGAATTTCAGCAGTACATGCTGTAAGGAATGACATGCTGAACCTTGTATAATTGTCATTGCAAATGTAATTTTTACTGAAAAAACCTGCTTTATGTTTATAACAGTACGACATGGGAGTGCTAAATAAAATGTCATCCTGCCTGCAAACAAATCCTGTTGATGCAAGTGCTGCCTATACCACGGTGCCTGCCACTAAGAAAGTACCTACCATCTTCTGGGAAAGCATTGTGAGTCTTGTTCAATTGAAACTGTGCAAACAAGAGCACTTGGGGGAAAGACCTGGGAACCTGGCAACCACGCTGCTGAGAAAGGATTCTCGCAACAAAAAGAATTTGCATGTTCACCTCCGTATTACCTAACAAGGACACTCCTGCAATTCAAGATTCTCCATACAGTACCTAGTGCACAAGTTAAAAGGTTAATAATAATTATAAAGAAATTGTTTTTTCTATATTTTCCACCATAATGCAATATATAGTATTAGGGCTAAGTCTATTGTTTGTTAAGTTCCCAATGAAATCAGTAGGAGTTTTTCTAGTGACTCCAAGAGGAGCAGGATTTGGCCCTGTTTGCCAGCCAAAAATATGAACGATACCTACGACCCAATTTTATTGGGATTTCTGTCAGCTCCTTCCTCATATATATCAGACGAATGAGATCAATGGGACATGAAAACTCATGGAACACAGTATATTTATTGTTTTCAGTAAAATACACATTTTCTGAGTTGTCTGATTAATTTACAGTTACATTTCCAGAAGAGGAATTTAATTAGGGAATTAAACTATAAATATAAACTATGAACCTCTAGCTTCACCTAACACAGTGAATCTCCATTTACCCATTGCATGGGATAGGCTTTCCTCTCATTGATTCTGTAATATGGTCATTTGCCAGGTCACTTACTTAAAGGACAGTTTTGCTATCCTGAAATCTTAAGCACATGGAAATAGTTTCTTTCAAAGCATGCAAAAACTAAATGGAAAATGAATGATGTTTCTTTTACCTTTTATTTCTTTTAATCATTTCTTTTAGGCTCGTAACTATACTTTATGTCATCTCTACTTAACGGTCTATATTTCTAACATAATGAGCTTGAGAAATAATTAATAAGAATAGCAAGTGTATGTGGAACAAAGAAGATCTGTACGTGGGATGATACACACTATATAAATGTGTACAACTGAGGTTTTGGGAGACAAAGATCATAGGATAAGATATCTAAATTGAGTTTCCTCATTTCTCACTCAGCTGCAATATTTTCAAAATTTCTCATTTGAACATAGAGATGCCTTCTTCAATAACTATATGATTGTAAAAACACTAAACAGAATATTTGTGCTGTCTCACTTCAGGTATGTAACCTAATAGGGAAACTTGGTTGCATTTGCATTCAGTAGAGTGAGATAGGTCCTTTCACAGAGCCAGTCACTAAGGATCCTCAAAACGCTCTGAATCACCTGCTTAAAGAAACTCCATTGCTCAGAGGGTAGTCGGGACATTACCTGGTTAAATCAGATACCTAAAGCCGGTGTGCTCATGTGAACTAATATTAAAAAGGTAAAAAGGTTGTGGCATTTCTGCCCATACCAATGGACTGTCTTCTCTCTTTTTTAACGATTCCAAAAAGAGCTCTCATATTTCCAGGGCATTTAAAGTGTTCAAATGAAAATCACTGCAAGTTTTGGGGACCAAGAGAATTTTACTTCTGCATTTTTGAACCTTCGGTTATGAACACGAGCTTAAAAACAAAAAAAATCAAAACATACTTGTTGTCATTTGCTACTACCAATGGATCATTTACAGGTAAAAAAAGTTCTTCCTCCTATAGAGAAGGAATAACTTAGAAATGGACATCTTTCTCACTTCAACCCCATCTTTGTCAAGGAGCTCCATCATGAATTACCTGCATGAAACCTTTAAAATCCTCACCTCTGCCTTCTTTCAAGATGAAAAATAATTTAATTCTATGAGTATTACTGACTCAGTGCCCCTTCCCATAACTGCTGTTGATATGATTTGTGGGAACCCCACAAAGCATTATGTTCAGGCTTCTATTGTGTCCATGTGTACATGTCATAAAAAAGCTAAAACAAAGCAGTGCGTGCATCTATTTAAGGGCACATATATACATAATCCCGTGTACTTCTATACAGTAGAATATTATTAAATAATAAATACTCCTTCAGGGATGCTCTTTTTGTGATCACTCTGTTAATTATCTGGATATAGGCATTCAAATAAGCCTTAGCACTACTGAAGAACAGTTAGCACTATTGAAGAACAGTGCCATAACAGTTTTGTGAAATTAGGAACACAAACAAATACCACCCTCTCAAACCTCAGCTGTGACCAGAAAAATAAACGTAACACTAAACAAAGGCATGTCAGAGAGATGTAAAAACAGCCTATGACATTAATTCTGCTACCAATATATTCATCAATAAATCCAGCAGTTCCACTAAGAAAGAGATATCATTTTTTGCTGATGACTATGAAGTTAACTGTCTGTAAATACAGTCTGATTTTGTATTTGAAATCTAAACTTTTCTGCACCATTTAGTTACACTTCTGCTACAGAAATCATAATTGCATCACAACCAAAAATATACTGGATATTGAAATTATCTAAATTATTAATAAATATGCACAATATACATATCAGTGTAAATGGACAATGCAAGGACTATACTATATCACATTTAATTATAATGTTTGCCTGTGTTCTGGTAAATATTTTCATATTGTTGAAATCAACAAAAATAATAAAACAATGGACACAACACAATCTGTAATACATGCAGACATGCACACAAACAGTAATCACCTGAGTCCTTCTCTGCTGTTGCTACATGTAAAACAAAAAAAAGAAGAAAAAGATTATTGCAGAAATTTAAGATGGTTGTTTTAATTTTATCAGAGTAGAATAAATATCAAATAGGGAGTTTCAGTGCTTAATCTCCTTAAAATCATTAGTAAAGCAGTGAGAGTCCTGAGAGTCAGCTCATCTAACTGATGGGTTTTGTCAACTGAAGGGGTAATGGTGTATGTTTTTATATAGCATTAATTTATTGTCCTATATAGACAATATTTTGGGTAACAGTTTACTTTTATTTATATATTCAATGGCTGAGTTTGTATCTCTACTATGCCTGGGAATTTAGGGACGTAAATAACAGTACAAGAGTAAGAATAGAAGAATATTATTTTATTAAAACTATCTTTGTAGCTGTACTTTGTACTTAGTTATTATTCTATAAATGATATTGTTACATAGTAGATTCATCTGACTGACTGATGTACCTTTGCTGACTAGAGAAATACTCAAAGAGCAGGGCAATACCATACGGCAACTATATTTGAGGGCATCAGGCATGTTCTGAATATAATGATTATACGCTTTCTGTGTGCACTGTGAGGAGTAAGCAAGTAATACAAAGATCAACATTAATTACTGGTAAGAGGAGAACACCATTTCAGTGTATGGGACAGTAAAATGCTCTCATGAAGCTAAAGGAACAGAACTGAAGCTATTGCTGAAAGCTTATACTTTTTTTTCTTTGCACTGGTAAAAACATAGGATATCTAATAATGATCTCAGTATCAAAAGAGAAGAACATAGGTCTCCTTGCTACTAAATACCAACATGCTTAATTTTTTGATGTTATGATGCTGGGGCCCTTCATTTTCAAATAGTATTTTAATCTCAAAAAGTTCTCCACCTATTTCTCCTTGAAGTCGTACATTCACATATGTAAGTTAATTGACTATGGCGCTTCAGGCTAACTGTTACATGAGTGGAAATCTACATATAGAAATCTCGTTGTGTATCAACCAAAAGACAATCAATCCACAAAGAAATTCACATCAGTCAAAATATGCCATGGGACAGACTTCATTTTTACATGTGGTTCCAGCTTACTTTAGTGCTAATAATAGGCATATTTCAAAGTGCAGAATTTGGTATTCTACTTACAATTGAACTGCCACAATCCTTTAGGACACAATCAAAAATCCTGGGCAAAGATGCATATACTTTATTGTTAAAATCTTTTTCACAATCCAATTTACTGTCAGTGAGTTTAGACATCTTTCGTATGCTTTTGTCATCTTTTTAAAAGGTTGCTATTTTTAAACTGATTATTTCAACAAAGGTTGTTAAAAGCCTAAAATACTGAACAACAAAAAATTGCTTTCATGAACACAAAAAGATAAAATCGAAGCAAAATGGTACTTTTGCTTTTTCATTTTCCAGAACAGATTTAATATTCATCCTTCTTTCTTTAACACAACATGATATCATAATTAATTAAGATAAACTGGTTACTGAGATGGTTTCATGTTGTTACTCCCATGATATAATACTGGTTGCTATAGTGATGAGACGGGGTTTTTGTTAATCACTTGTGAGATTGGTTAACTCATGTTTTTCATGTGGAAAAAGGAAAAAGTTGAGCAGAAGTGGAAAAAGGAAAAAGTTGCCTTTATAATATTGCTAAATACATGAGCCTTCCTCATTTTGCTGATATAATTCTATTTTCTTCCAGAGTATTACTAGAAATACATACTATAAAAAAGCTATTATGCCTAAAAAATGTTTTTTTAAGGTCATCATTCATTTCTTTTCCTGTTAAGCCATTCTACCACCAAAAAAAAAAAATATATATATATAGATACAGATAAATATAAATATACTTTTTTTCTATTCCTGCATATATCTGTACAGTTATATCTCAAGCTTTCTGTGCTTTGTGGAGAATTACAGAGGTGTCTTAGAAAGCTTTTCACTGTTCTGACTTCCTTTTTGTTCTACATAAGGTTTACAAGTATTAAAATAACATTATGTATCCTATGCTTGGGTTTTACTTTTTTTTGAAAAAAAAGCTGTTAGCTTTTCTGTATACAGTCTAGAACATACACAAATTCCAGAAAAAGTGCTGATGACAATCAGATCTAATATTTTATGCTGTTAGTGCATTCAATAAATTAGGATGTAATTACAGTTTTAATAATCAGATTATCTCTATATCTCTGAAAACAAAACAGTAAAAATAAGCTACACTTATCTATCTGTCTGCCTTATAAATAGATCAGAAAGGCATCTATACCCAGAGTTTTCAAGTTCCAAGGTACTGTTACTGCTGATAAGGAAAGAATATCCTGCCAGTAGTTTAATTACCAGAAATACTTAGAGAAATAAAAAATAATCCATAAACAACCTTTCATATTTATGGAAAACTCAAAAGTAAGAACAAAGGGCAACTTAAATTAAGAAGTCCTGGTCTTCCATTCAAACAGGGTCCCAGGAGGCATATTAAAGCAATGAATAGGAAAAAGCTCCATAGTTCACCAGCTGAGATTTTAATGAGACATTTCCCCTTGCTGTGGAACGGGTTGGTTCAGGAAAGGGAAAAGGCTGCTCACAGAATATTCAGTTAATAGGCATTGCTGGCTTTTACAGCCACTTTGGCAGCTGACCGATGTACTAACCTTCTATTTTGGCATATTCTGTAAGCCGAGTGTAATTGATCAAGGCAGCCTTCTCCAGACATTTTCTAACCACTTTCTTCACCTCTTCTGCTGGTATGGGGGTGGCAATATCCTTCATTAAAACCTGTGCCAGAGACAATTATACCACTTGGTTACACTCATTCCTCAAAACCCAAGAGAAAACGATGAACGTTTCCTAATGTTACTTTAGCTCTGATAATGGTTACAGGCCAAAATCAAAACGGAACCATTTCAGTACGGAACATCAGTGGATGAACTAGATATTTATCTCTCAAGATTTGAGTGCAACTCTGCTTTGACTGCATATATTGTACTCGTATACAAATCAAGACTACCCCTTCAGTTTGGCATCTTGCAGCATGCTAGTCAGCCTTTGTCTGGGTGACACGAAGACGAGCAGGACAAGAGCATTCCTTGGATGGGTTGGATGATCACAGCAGCTAAAGATGTGGATAGAAAAATTTGTTTGGTTCTCACCTGTGGAAAAGTTTCCACCATTTCACAACCATTGATTCTTAAACAGTGTAAAGCAGAAAGTGTGAACACCATCAGAACAAGCTACAGTTAATGCTTTTCTTCCTTCATAAGTTATTCAAATTTAGCATGATCTTTTGGTGGAAAATAATTAGCTTTATTAGGCAGGGAAAATATAGAACTTCCCCTGAAATATTTTAAATGGACAGCTAGAGGAACAGCTCATACAAACTTTTTCTAAAACCCACTAGTTTTTAAAGCCTATTGATTTTTAAAATGCAACTGTGATACAATGGATCACTTGCATTCTTGACCTTTTTGCAATTAAAGGAAGCCCTGCCATGACTTAATAAAGTCGATACCTACAGTACCAAACATATATGTAGGCTTTCAATAGCTTCAAAAATTAGTAACATCTCAAGCATACAACATGCAAGATTTACGTTTGCAATATGTCAACTGGTTTGAACCTTTGAAAAATTATTTTTTCTGAATAGCATTTAATTACCAGGTTGGCTTGAAAAATCAAGATTGTTGCAAGTGAGGTAAACTGTGAACATACGCCTTCTTCATATGAGTGTAATTTTATATACTTTAATATTGAACACGATCATTCAAAAAATCTGAACAAATATTATCAATATTTCACTAACATTTTTACTTTAACTCTGCTTCACTCACTTTGAACAGGTAGTTGTAAACAACATTCAGTATGATTTTGCCATATTTTAATATAAAAAAAAGTGCAGATAGCTCACAAGCTTTTAAAATTGCATCTCAAAATTACACTCAGAGGTATG